ACGGAGGCGGGTGGGGGGGGGGGGACGTTATCGCGCGTGCCCTTCGTCGGGAGCCGCGAGATTTCCCAATCAACGGCTCTCGTGCCAGATCGAACGCCTGGCGTTCAGGAAACGACCACCACCCCCCGCGCGCGAAACCTCCCTGAAAACCGGTCGTGGCACGTGGCGATCAGTCGCGGGGAATCGCGACGCGCGGTCTCCTTGAATTCTCTTCCCTCCGCGTTGGAAAGGGGCGACTTCCCTCTCTACGCCGCGAAGACGGACGTCCGGTGGCTCGGGGAGATTCCTTCGTCTCGTCAATTTCGCACGCTTTCCCGCACCCCTTCTCCGCTCTCCGCCGCCCCTTCCTCCCTCTCCGACGCGCAGGGAGCGCACTGTGCAGGGATACCGCTTGCAGCGCTCTGCGAGGAACGCCACTCTTAATTCTAGCGACGTAGAGGTAGGTGCGGGAGCCTCTCGCTGTGACAGAGTTACGTGCACGCACACGCGCGTACACCGCGTCCCGTGCGAAGCGTTCCGGCACGCAACGTCCCGGCGTGTAGTGTACACACGTGCGACAACGTCGTCATCCTCGCGGAAGTGGGCTGCGGTTTTTCTCGCGGGGCGCGGGCGGCGTCGCGCGGGTAGGGAGGCGGAGGGCGTCAGGTTAGGTCGATTATGCGAAAAAAAAATGGCAATGGCGCTGCGGATTTTCGGGACGCCCGAGTGAGCGGGGCCGAGGCGCTTGAGGACGCACCGACACGCGCGTGAAGGGGAGAGCAAGCACGCGCATCCCGGCCGGAGTTTAAAAACGTCACCCCGATCCTCTCTCTCTGTGTCTCTCTCCTTTCACGTCCGAACCCGTGGAGCGCGCCGTGGGGAGAACCGAGGAAGCGCGCACCATGTCGAACGGACTGGCGTTGCTGAATAACAACCAGCAATCGAGCACTCCGACAAGTACGGGACGGCTCTATTGATTTTCGACCGTGATGCACTCTCTCGCTCGCTCGCGCCGCAAGTGGTGGTGCGTAACCCCGCGTGTTCGCACGACTGACGGTGGTTTCTCTCGTTTCAGAATGCGGCGCGTCCATGACTCCCGCTAACGGTAACACGCTCTCGTCGTCGTCGGAGAACTCGCCGAGCGGCGGTCACGCGGCACAGGTGAGTCCTCGCGAGTTTTACCCGACTACGGGGCTCGCTAGCGGGGAGAGAGAGGGACACGGTACCTTCTCCACCTGTTAGCGAGAAATACCTTCGAGATGGATAATCGAATTGATGGATCGGACGACGGGCAGCCCGCGATGGGAGTCGCGGGCTCCTCTCGTTTGTCCGAATCATTTTTCTCCTCTGTCACTCCGTATTAATTGGTGTTTTTCCTTTCCGTAGAGGAAAGTCCCCTATTATGAGATAGACTCCTAATATGAGATAGCGAGGTTCCTGCTAAGTCGACAGGCATCGTCCGTTGGTTCCACCATTAATTCACTGCCCACGGAGAGAAATCTGTTTAGTGGAAAATTGATCGTTGGATCGTGTAATCGTTGCGAAAAAAAATACTTGCGATTGAAATTGAATGGCGAAAATCTACTCGTGTAATAGACGGCTTTCCTGTATCAATCCGAAGTACGGGGGGATCAAAAGCGTTTAACATTCGCATGCTCTTGGTAAAATGCAACGGACGAGTTCGTTAAAATCTGCAAATACCTGAGATATAAAAGTTCGCGTGCGGAGAGTGTCTTGAGATTGAGAACGTTGTGTCTGCGAGACGCTACTCCGCTTTGGCTGTTCATTGAACGAAGCGTGAGGCCCACGAAAGATCTAGAAAGAGAGACACGCGCGTGAGAATCGTCGAGTCGGAGGTATTTTCCGGGTCTAAGATCCTTGGGGGGGCTTAGTTTCACCAAACGTCGCTTAACTTTAGTCCTAGTTTAATTCATGTTTGTGTCCTAAAGTGAAGGCTAGTCTACAATGTGTTCTTTGCGTCTAGAAACATTCTATTTTGTAGCCAGTAAATACGTTTAAAGTGTGCAAGTCGATAAATTGTACATACATTGGACAATCGTAAATTGTCGACAAATTTTTTTAAGCGTTTTGATTTGCTTATGTAAAATAGAATGTTTCTAGTGGAGCTCCCTAGTACACGCGTACTAGACTGCACGTGTGATCCGTGTTTTTAACTTATCCGTGTTTTAAGCAGTGTGTATGAATTTAAAGAATCTTCATTTACGCGGATCCGTGAACACGTGTTCACGAATATTCGTGAACGTGACGCGTGTACACGAATGTCCGTGTATGTGACGTATGTGAACGTGTAGCCGTGTACAATATCAACGCAGTACTAGCTGCGCTTACACTTGGCGCGAGACACTACCGTGTCTCGTGATAGAGAAATATTTAGAGAATTATGTGACAAAATCTGGATAAAACTTGGAATGCTGGAATTATGCGTGTACATATGTCGAACGACATATGCAGACATGGAGATCTTTCATCAAATTTTGATAAATATTTGCACACGCATCGCACATACACGGATCTTCGAGTAGACGTGTCACGTACGCAGGTGCACGCAAATGAAGTGAAATACACCTATCTGTGTACACGGATTACGCGTACGCGTGAATCTTAAAACACGTATCCAGCTCGCTTCATGAGAGATTAATTGATCCTCTTTGTAAGATTGAAGCAACGTTACAAGTTTTAACGACAAAATGTTGCTCTCTATGATTTCTCGTACTGATGCGAGGCGAATCAGAAAATCTAGCGCGGAGGTTTAAGATGACGCACATATTGTTGGTGGTATGTGTGATAGTTGCAATTGTTATCTTACAAATTTGTGTCTTTCAGATGGGGCAGGGAAATTCACCAAAGTCTCATGTTCTCAAGAGAAGCGCGGAGGTAGATTTAGATGGTAAGTAATTTTGTTACATACATATAATGAATCCTGAACTTTCGAAAGCTTGTTTGATGACGAGAAGGCAACCGACTTAAATTTATTACTTAATTAGATATTACCGGCACGAAGAAGCGTCATAAAAATCCACAACCGAAAAATGCGGTATGTGCATTAAACGAGCTAAAAACCGGAGCCACGTACAAAGTAGTGGGTCAGACTGGACCCACACATGCTCCGTTATTCACGATCGCGGTACAGATCGATGGCCAGACGTACGAAGGGCAAGGCCGCACCAAGAAGATGGCAAAGCACGCAGCTGCTGAACTTGCTTTACGGAACATCGTCCAGTTCAGAGATGTGCCCGATGTTCACCAAGCTATCAATACTTGCCAGTCTGTTGTGCCTCTTGAGCCAGATTTCACGAGCGACGTGACGGAACGTGATAATCATCTTGTCAATGCATTTAAAACGCAAGAGCCAAAGAATACTAATAAGTTCTTAGATAAAGGTCCAGTGGCGTTGATTAACGAATTGTATCCGGGCGTCACGTATAATTGTATATCCGATAACGGGGAGAGTTACGCAAAGTTTACAATATCGCTATCTATTAACAACGAGACGTTTGAAGGAACGGGCCCGAGTAAGAAACTGGCGAAAGCCGCGGCGAGTAAGGCCGCTTTAGCGAAATTGCGAAACGTCCACAGTTCCTCATTTGGTTTGCCGCTTCCCATACGCGTCAACTCCTACCCTTCGCAAGAACAAATGTCCTTGCCGCAAATGCTGACCGATAAAATCGGCAGAATGGTTAACCAGAAATTCAGCGAACTTATTCAAAGCAAACCGCAACACGCGCGACGTAAGGTCTTGGCTGGTGTTGTAATAACGAAGGGACAAGAGGCGGAACTGATATGTGTCACCACCGGTAAGACGGACATTTATCTCACGTTCGACTAAAACGGATCACATCTATTAAGCATCTACTCGAGTGTCTTTTTTTTTTCTTCTTTTAAGGTACGAAATGCATCTCGGGTGATCATTTGAGCCAGACTGGCGGTGCTCTAAATGATTGCCACGCGGAAGTGGTAGCGCGACGGTGCCTCTGTGAATACCTTTACAAACAGTTGGAACTCCACACTGAAGATAAGGGCGCTGAGTCCATTCTCGAGCCAGCCAAAAAGGGATTCAAATTGAAGCAGGGCATCGAGTTTCATTTGTACATCAATACCGCCCCCTGCGGCGATGCGAGAATTTTCTCACCTCACGAAGACAACGACTCCATAGACAAACATCCCAATAGACGAGCCAGAGGTCAATTGCGTACGAAGATAGAATCCGGCGAAGGGACTATCCCTGTAAAAAGTAACGAGGGTATTCAAACCTGGGATGGCGTAATGATGGTACGTACCATTTGTGCTTAAGACGAACGCACCAACGTGCGTCTGCCTTGTTCACAAACGCACGATTTTATAAGTTTATCCCGACTGCCTTTTATCGATATTTTAATTTGAGACTTGAATTAAAGGGTCAAAGACTGCTGACGATGTCGTGTTCGGACAAAATAGCTCGGTGGAACGTACTTGGTGTGCAGGGTGCACTCTTAAGCCACTTCATCGAGCCAATTTACTTCCACAGCATTGTCCTCGGCAGTCTCTTGCATTCGAGTCATATGTATAGAGCGGTGTGCGGTCGCATTGAAAAGACTATACAGGGTTTGCCTCCGCCGTATAGACTTAATAAACCGTTAATGAGTCTAATAACATCTTCTGAGGTCAGGCAACCTGGAAAAGCGCCTAATTACAGCGTCAATTGGACAATCGGTTTGTGCATATATTCTTTCATCTTTTACAGAAAAAAGAACCATGCAAGATGAACAAATTTTATTTTTCTTGTTACATTTTAGGACAAAGCGAAGCCGAAGTTATAAATTGCACGACTGGCAAAGATGAACTGGGGAAACCTTCTAGAATATCTAAACAAGCATTCTTCAGGCGGTTCTTTGCTCTCTTGTGTAAAAAACTTCCGACTATAAACGATGTTGACAAGGATAGTTGTCGCCAGTACAACATGGCAAAGTGCTCAGTACAGGATTACTCGGTAAGTAATTTTGCATCTTAAACAATAACACGTATATACAGACGTATAAAATATTAGTCATTGCCCGATATATATTTCATTATATATCATATGCTGTTGTTTTTTTTTCTTGGGTAGCTTGCCAAGCATCAATTGAAGGATGCTTTTATGAAAGCACAGCTTGGAAGTTGGGTGAAAAAGCCGTGTGAGCAAGACACGTTCGACATCGATATCTGACTAAATCAGAGTAATAATAGCGTAACGAAAAACGTAAAAAGCCCATCGATTGATTTTGTAGTTCCTAGTGCAAAATAGATCGCTCGTTCAGCGTGTCATGATATGGCAGAATTTGGTATCAGTAAAGCATAAATCGTAGGATCTCGCGCATGTGTTCTTTTGCGCCCTATGATCTCGATATATTTACCGTGTTCAGAGTGTATTACGAATTATCGATAATTAATAATTTCGTTGTAGTCGATAGGAAGATTTCGCGCACCAAAGGGCTTTGGACTGTATATTATTTTGACTTGTTAATAGCAATAATTGTTGACGAAAGATCAATTCAGCACATATCTACACAGGATTTCTTAGTGTTAGCGTGACTCGTAACGTATTTGCTTCTCACCAACTTTCTAATTTCACCAGAAACCTTTCTAACTTTGCCGCATTATACGAAACAGCTATTTGATGAATCAGTACAAATAATCTTTTTCTTTGTGCAATCAACAATTTCGTCACTGTTATCATTCCAACATTTTTACTTTTGTTTCCCTATTTGCATAACATATTTACATAGGCTTTAAGGCTAATCGATTACGATTTTAAATATAATAGTTTGGAATTAAAACTAGTTTTAAGAGGCAACATTAGTGTCTTATATATGAATGCATTGTACCTACGATGTCCCCAGATAACATTCTATGTCAGAAATACGCAAATTTTAATCTCAATTTCTTATAATTTTTTTTCTTTCAACAAAATTATAATTTGTCGCTTGATGTAATTACATCTAATACGCACTTAAACGCGTGACACGAACATCCATGTATCATACACAATGAACATATCTTTGCGTAAGTGTGCATGCAAATTTAACGGCGTCTGTCACGATATTGCGTATTTCTATGTCCAGGCATCCGAGACTCGGAACTTAATTATTTATGAGTTAACGAAATGCTATCTGGGATCTTTTTGTAGGACATTTAGATATCGTAGCAACGAATTAAGTTGCACTTTGAATCCTCAACGGCTGTGATTCAGATCTGGAATGGGTCTTAATCGTAAAAAGTAATCGTTGCACAGTTCGGTGAAAAAGACGGGACAGAATTTCTCATGAGCACTTGCGTAACAATTGCAATTTTCCATTACAGCAGCAATTTATAATATTCTTATTTACCCTTTATCCTTGCTAGAATCGGAGATGCAATCTTCGCTGTAAATTCGGAGATGTAATTTTACATATTACCTTCCGCTATGTTTTCAGCAAAGATCATTGTTTAAATGTTAGACAGAAATATTTTCAGCAAAGACCATTGTTTAAATGTTAGGCAGAAATGTTCAACGGCAAATTTTACAAAACTCATCACATGTATAATATTTTAATATCAGGATCGAAAGGCTATTCGTGTTTCGTCGTAAAGTCTGCACAATCCTAGTTTATGTCGATCAGATAAATTTTTATCGAGGTATACTTGTAAAAAAGGTGCATGATCGTGCAACATTTTATCTTTTTTTAATAAAATGAAATAACGCACTTAAAATAACGTACGACGCTTCACCACCGCTTACTGTGCCATATTCTTCGCGAGCAACAAGGTTTAAAAATTCATTCGATCTCACGTAGGAATTAGTGTTTCGAATGCTAGCTGCAAAACGCGAGGCAATGAATGATAAAACATGTATTATCTTAGAGCACATGCACTTTTTTTTAATCCTATGACAGAATTTTATCCGATGTAAACTAGGACTTGTATGTATAAGTAATCTGCAACTGTCCGCAGTCGGTTCAATGTAGCGATTGGTTTTGGGGATGTATACTTTCGGGACGTATTTAAATAATACGTGTATAGGAGTTAAAGGAACGGAAGTGATTGATGATTGATGTAAAAAGAACACGATAATAATTACGTACGCAACGTGAACGGTTACATACTTTTCCAGGTAAATAAGTATTCATATATTTAGAGGGAGAATCCTAAGGTCATTGCCTCACTGTGCCAGTATTATCAGTACAATTCTGCCGTAGTGACACACTGCCCGCGTTGGTCCAGTTTTGCATATAGAACTTATTTAGTGAAATTTAAGTTAATGCAAAAGAATACCAAAAAAAAGAATACCAAAAACTATAGTACTTTATGTGTATGTGTAGGTGTTAGCGTTTAGCGAAACATAAAGTATTATTTCAGATAGAGATTGTTTAAAAAAAATTGTATTAGAGAGAAACGACATCTTTTTAGTTTTAAGCGTATGCCGCACACGCAATCAATTTTACGGTGACCATTGAACCTATTTTTCTTTTACGCTTTTCAGCAAATGTATAATGAGCCGATGTACTTACATTTAGAATTACTCACATTTAGATTGTCGGAGCATTTAAAATATCGCGTCCGAGCAGTTCATTTGTTTATTTTTTCTAAACGCGAGATGCATTCCATTTGTCTTCTGTTTCGCGTGCTTCTCATTCCCGTAAAACAGATTGCGTGCAGCGACTAAGGCTGCATTCGGAGAGACGCTATTGGTGTTTGGCTCGCGTACGTTGCAGTCAATATGTGATACCAGTCGTGTATTTGTGCCAAGCGCAATACGCACCAACAGCTCAATAAATTTTGCTTTGTCTTCTCCTCGTCTGTTTTTCTAATAGATACGTTTCGTCGAAAGAACGACATAGTCAGGTTTTCAATAGTGACGGCGGAAAGGATTATTTAATAATGTGCGCTATATCGCGCGAGTAAGTGTAGTATTGTCTGCAGAGAGGATGCTTCAATGCTGTACCCGTCAATACTCATCTCTATTGATTCTCCATGTACAGAATATCTCGATATTTTTTCTTGAAAACAAAATTTTTGGGGAGAAAAAATATACAGGTATATGAATGTATCCTGAAGGGTAATCTGCATATGGAAAAAGAGAATTATATAATATTATAACACTCATTGAAACATCCACGGACAATGCCTTCCCTTGTCATATATATATATATATATATATATATATATATACATACAGGGTGTA